TCGGTACACCACTATACGTGATACATTGCAGACTAGCAATGGGCTTCTAATCACGAATGAAACTGAAATGAGCTCTACTGGCAACTGAACACTTCTCCCGTCCTACTCCACCAATTGGTTCAATGAGTCAGTTTTCCGGTACGTACGTTGAATTTTACTCAAACCAAGTGGTCATTGAACATAGCACATCTTGATTCAACTTACACCAGTTGGCATTTAGTTGTATTATCAAAAAAGGAATTAAAAAGCTTTTGTTCGCGGCTGTGAGTAGGCCGGTAATTTGGATGAACAGATCGATTTGAATACGGCAAAGTGTAGGTATTCACTTTGGGCGAGAAATGGGAGCCTGAGGCCAGCCAATGGTGATACACGAATACACACACGCATCGATTCGTTCTCCGCATGAATTTTTTGCAACTGTTCACCGGATACTATACGGACAGCATTAGGATGCGCCGAAGAAAGAGAACTGAAATGTTGCGTGAGTTGAAAAGCTGGGAAGCACTGGACAGCTGTTTCGACCTGATTGAGTCTCATCAGTAGTATCAATTCATCGATGCAAATGGGTATCGCAAACCCGGGACCTCACAGGTAGAACGTAAGCATACTACCCACTGGGCCACCGGGTAGCACCGTTAGGCATTTCGAATTTACACGATATAGCACAGCCCATCTATGCGAGGTTGTTGCGAGTATCGGTCCTCGCTCATCTCAGCAGTAGCCTCAAGGGTTATGACTCAGTTGGAAACCTTCACAAGCTGATTGTCTATTGTATGAGAGTAATGGAGGATTTGATTTGTTTGTATGATGAATTCGTCGTTTAAATAAGGCATGACCTGAAAAAGCTGGGAAGCACCCATTTGGGTTGATAGATTTGCATCGCTGCTGATGAGACCTAAAGAGGTCGAAACAGCTGTCCTTGGTTCCCAGCTTTTCAGCTCACGCCCTATTTACTCGACGAATTCATCAAATAAACTAATTTGTCTCAGAATTATTGGCTACACTGTTTACTAGGTGGTAGTAAATAAGTCTTTTCACTTTCATGCTACCGAAGCACACACACATTCAGTCATTTAATCAGTTCGGTGGAGTTCATGTCTGTGACAGTACATATTCGTGGTCTCATCCTCGCTTCGCAATATTCTCCCTTGACAAACGCTGCTCAAATCAGTTGCCAACCTGAGATATCATAACTACACTTTGGTGTAAGAAGCAGTATCCGTGATGTAAAAAACAGCATTAAAACGAAATTCGAAAACTGTAACTGCACTTCTGACAAATGATATCGGAAAACAGTCTAAGTTCAAAAAAAGATCAGACTATTTAAATGACGGTCACCAGCTCGATCGAACGAAGCAGGGCAGTGCGCGTGTTTGATCTGATTTACCCTAATCCGATCAGCAGTCAGCATTAAGCACACATTTGACGGTTCAAACGGAGGACGCAAGTTGGCTTTGGATAGCAGTTCACATCTTCCTTGTCCTGGTTCGAATCTCAGCCAAACTGATGAATATTCCTCTATTTTTACTTTCTTTATTAAATGTATATATATATGTACATAACGAACAATTTTCAGAAAGGGGAAAGCAGTCAAATAAATGATTGATTTTCACAGAAAATGGGATAAGTTAGGCGATTGTGGTGAGATTCGAACACACGTTCAGCGTTCACAATCAAGATTTCACATCGGTAAGTAGCTCAGTGGATCCTTACACGCGAGATTATGCACTTTATTTTAGTTCAAGCCTACCAAACAATTCCTGCGATTTCATTAAAATCCATCGACCCATTATGATCAATAGGTTGTACTCGAATTCAGTATTGCAGTGGGATTAATAAAACGCCTGGAGGAATAAAGTATCTGCTGATGACCTTTATTTAAGATCGACAATTGTCTTCCGTAACAATATATTGATTTCCAAACCTTCGTCGCTTATCATACAGTTTTTATTTCAAATAAAATAGCCCTCAGATAAGCGATATCCCTGCTTGGATTCAAGTCCCACCGAGTTCTAGTTCATTCGCCTAGAAGTCGCCAAGACTAAGTGACTCGAATAGTACAGACTGTGACGAGAACTTGACGAGCGCAAAGCTGTCCCAAAATCAAATTTTCATTCTCCACGCCAAGATAAAGAAAAACTTCACCAAAACAATTTCTCACTCACTTCAAGTTCATCCATATTGGCCAATTTTTCGTACACGGCCGTATCCGCTTCCCCCAAATGCAATTCATTCGGATCAATCTCACCTTGAGTCACAAACTGGAGCATACTATGTGTACTGGGATCCATGGTGACCAGGGTTTTCGCGTACTGATCTTTTTTGCCTTTGTGACCAGCTTTCTTCAATTCAGCCGCCGTAGTTCTTTGAAATGTGGTCAAAAACGTGTCACTGTTGGTTGAGGAAACCCGATGAAGACCGTTCTTCTCGGACGGATGATCCACAACACAACAACGCAGATCAACTCCCTGAAGGGAGTACAAATGAAGAATGGTCAGAATTGGGAAGTTTACACTGTGCAATTTGCGTTGAAGAGAAAATAAGCTCTTTCAATTTAGGTTTGTTAGCAGATTGCAGTATGCTATTCAGGCTGTGAAACGTTCAGCACCCTCGGTGGGATTCGAACCCGCGCATGAATGCCGCCTACGCCTACTTGTCGTCTCTGAGCAGGTTCAAATCCAACTAAGGCTACTGAACTTTTCACAGTTTGAACCTAACAAACAAGTATGTGTATGGGTGGATCGACTGCTGCAGCGTTCCCAAATCTTCTGGCAATATCGATCATCCATGGTGACACGTGTATCCGTGATGTATTCGTAGTTATTGACAAGAAATGTTCCTATTTTTAAGCAGGAATGGATTTCATGTGAACTGTGCTCAACGCGCTTACACCAAAGATTGAGATTCCGATAACAAAGTACTGACACCAGATTCTTTGATTGCTACAACTGGCACTCCGGTTACTTGGTGATTAAACTAAGCCATCAACTTTTATCGAGACCTTTTTAATTCCAGAGCGAATGAACGGGGCTTGAAATAAATTGATACGATCAACAACATCGTATTGGAGACACTGTGACCCCGTTGTGGACACAAACTGCGAGATGCAAGCCATTCAAGCCACTGTCCACTAGCACACACCAGTGCTCTGAGATTTAGGGTTCAAAACCGGTCATGATCACTCAACTTTGCAGGTGATAAAAGCCTCCCTCGTATCCAACGGAAGATCACGCCTATCCTGTTGAATCCTTATGTGAATTTCGTCTCAGATAGCCTCTGTTGAGTAAGCCCATCCCGTGCGGTGGGTGTCTACCCACCAAAGTGAGAGGACCTTGAAGCACCAATCCTGGATGTACCCGGGTGGAGTGAACCACTGGCAATTCACCTAAGGGAGTTGGTTAAAAACCTAGATTTCAATCCAACCAGGAAGAGGCGTGCGAATCACACTCACCCACACCTTCGTGGTTGTGGCAAAGGTCACTCGCTCGATTGGGTACCTCCGACGTTTTACTTCATCCAAAGGGTGCATGATCCAATGAACCGGACACGGGCCCCCAATGGATTGCAGTTTCCACACTTCGTCCCGCTGCCCTCTGGGTCAAACTTTGGCTAGTCACAAACTTCAGCTTTGAATTCCCCATGAAAATTTACCGCCTTTGGCCTGGGCAACCCAGCACTATCGTGTCCTCGAGCAAATCATGGAGCCTTTTTCTCATAAAGATTATTGGCATCGTCATCTTACAGCAAAATAGAGTAAAGGGAACTTCACTGATCACTGTCAAACTCGCAATGCATACAAGGTTAGTGATAAAATTTAAGGTGGACAGGGATTGAACCTATTTTGATGGAGGAAGAAGAAGGCAAACCATTATGGTCAACACACAGAGTACGCAATCGAACTCTGCATACTTACCGTTTCAAGCTTTCAGGTCTCATAAG